AATTAATAAATATCCTATTTTTACTACGTTGGAGACTGCACCCTTTCCCACTGCAGAAATTTTCTTTTGAAAATTCAACAGCTTTCTTTTCTTCATTTTTGTATGGAAAAGTTAATAAATATTCAATTTTTTTGAATAGTATTCTTGACTTTTGTCATATGATGTAGTGGTTGGTCTTAGATGAGTTTTAGAGATATATCTATTATGAGCTTATTTCAATGGTAGGTATTAATGATGATTACTAACATAGACGTAAAGAAATAACTGATGATTATTCTACAAATACAAAAATTATCCTAAAAAGCAAAGTTTAAGGCCTAATTATATGTATATGCTTTCAACGTTAAGTTGGGCTACCACACTTTGAAATTTCCGATAAAAATAATAGTAATAAAAAGAAGACGTGAGGAAATTTAATAACTTTACACTTTCCTTTGCTGTCCATTCATTCAACAACATAAATAATAATATAATAATATCTTTAAAATTTTAAATATAAATATTATATTATATTTTAATTTTATATTTTATTTTAATTAAATTTGATGTAAAAATTTAAGTAAAATTAATTATAAATATTACATTTAATGAAACTTAACTTATACTAAATATTACATTATAAATTTTAGCATCTCCAGGACTAGATTGGCTAGATTTTCGCCTCATCTCCTCAGTTAATAGTGATGCTACAACAGAGTCCATATCAAGAACCTTCACATGGCTCAAACTCATAATCAGGTTATCCCAAGAGTTAGGCATAGAACATAGTAAGAAAGGAAAGTAAGATACTTCCTTTCTCTTCATCATCAATTTTAACATCAAGAGACAGAAGCTTACTAGTAAGGGAATTGAATACATTGAGGTGCTCTTGTACTGACCCTCCATCTTTCATCTTCAAGTTGTAAAGCTGCCGCCTTAGAAAAATCTTGTTTGCCAGCGACTTGCCTTCATAAATATTCTTAAGCTTTTCCCAAAGCCCTTTTGCAGTTGACTCTGTCTCTACATTGAACAGAACATTGTCGTCCAACGCCAGCTGCAAATTTGCCAAGGCCATCTCGTCCTTCTTAGAGAATTGCTTATCCGTCATTCCTTCGGGTTTCTCTTCTCTTGGCAAGAAAGCAACTGCACAACCATCCTTCACGAGCATTGCATGCATCTTCAATTTCCATAGTGCAAAATTTGATCCATCAAAACGTGGAATCTCAAATTTTGTACCACCACCTTTTCCTGTCATAATGATCAGCACAAACAAAGCCTTCTACAACCACAGCTCTGATACCAAAATGATAAATTAAAAGTGGATCAAGTGTAAAATGGTGTTTATGCATACAGCAAGAGAGGAACTAAATGACAGCAAATTGAAGAATAAGAAGTACAGTGACTGGAAACTAAAATGAGTTTTATTGCTGAATATTGAAAGCAGAACAACTATAACAAGAAAATATGATGAAAAGATGAGAATTTGACACACAGTGCAATTGGTCATTCTCCTTATTTATAGACAGCAAAATAACAGAAGTTTGTTGTAACTCTCTACTAAAAACATGGCTTCATATCAGATAAAAATTTGGTATGCTCCAGTAGCTCCACTTTATTAGGACTCCACTAACAGTCTTATTTGACTTGGTCTTCAGCAATACACTCCGTTACACATTGATGGTTTTCGTTACTTTTGTCATTAAAATTAACAGTTTCCATTACTGTTAAAACTAATCGTTTCTGTTATTTATATCGTTAAAATTGACAATTTTCGTTACATACTAACGGTTTTTGTTAGTATATAATATACTAATGGAATGTGTAATTTTACAGAATGTATGTATTATTGTCCTTGACTTAACATAATATCTGTCTTCCTGTAAGATTTGATGTGATATGATATGGGCGATCGTTTCTCTAAACATAAGACAAGTTTCCGTTAATCAAGGAAAAATGAACATCAAAACATCAAATTATACATGTTTTGTAATGTC